TTATCTCAGATAATGCAGTAATCATTTAGATGACAAGTGTTTTTTTGAAATCGTATGAATCATCGGTTCAGAATAATTATGAATATCCTTGTAAAACATTATAGAGGAAGAAGTGATCATGATGTACAGACGTAGAGTACGTTGAACATCACGAATATCCAACTAAAGCTGGCTCAAACAGGTTCCAATTTAAGGATTTCGTAGTACTCTGAGAACTCTAAACAATTGGAGCGACTACACTTAATGAGTTTCGATTGGGCAAATGTGTTAGCGTGCATACAAACGCTCTTGCGATTGTTATTAAACTCTGATTTTTCATTCCGTAGAATTCTGACAGCTATCATTTTTTGACATGTCAGAGATTACAAACCTTTTTGGCCGGGCACATTTTTCAATTTCAATACGTGTCTGAACATCTGAGTCTATACATACATTTTATTTGTTAGTAAATGTATCCATTTTATTAAGTGCGGTACTCTACATGGTTTTACGGCGAGTGATAATTACGTCCCTTTTCATTACAAACAGTAAAAAATGCACAAGTAAAAATAACATATTTTTATTAAAATCTTTAGTCATCATTAATACTTATATCACTATCTTCATCATCGTCATCATCGCTGACATGAATTATTAAAGAGTCTGCGACTGTGTCAATGAAATCGTCGAGAGTGCACATCTTATCTTCTTCTTTGATTGTATGGCTGATACATTCTTGCCATTTATCAGGAGTAATACTACTTATACTTTCCAGTAATAGTTTTTTAACTTCCGCCATTTTAAAACTTCTGTTGTGTCTTGCGACATGCCCCTTCACTTGAGCCCACACCAATTCAATAGGGTTGAGCTCACAATGATATGGGGGCAGTCTAAGCACAGTAATGCCTTGTGCTGTGGCCATCTCGTCTACAATACACTGTTGATATTTGTATTTCTCCTGACCCACAATTTCCAATAAATTAACTTTTAGCATTTTTTCTTCAAAATTTAAATTTTTTGAAGTCAACCACGCTTGGATATCGCCTTTTCTCCATGCACTCGTTGGTACTTTTTCGACCTTCCTCGAATGATAGGGAGCATTATCCAACACTACTACCGAGTTTGGTTTTAATTTTGGAAGTATTTTTGTGAACCACTCCTCAAATACTTCCCCAGTCATCTCCTTGTGGTAATCTGCCAAGCCTTTTTTTGCCTCAAAAACTAATAAACCATCTTCCAAAAATCCTTCTTCGCTCCCTATATGGCTAACTATAAGTCGCCCCCCCTTTGCCTGTTGGTGCCTTAAGCCCTGTTGTCAAGCCATCGAGGAAAGCTTGTCGTGAAGATTGAATGTTGGTATCACACCACACTTTATTGACGGTATGTCCTGAAAATAAAAATATATTTAATATTTCACTTATACATGAGGACAGTTATATATGCATATAAATTGAAAAATATTACCTGTAAACATGGATTTCTTTATTTATTTATTCATTTTGGTAACAAAAATTTATTAACAAAGTTAATTTAAGTATTACATAAGTACAGAATTCGATTTCCGACTAATACTTTGAAGAAAAGATAGGTTATAAAAAAGTTAATTACCACATAATTCAATACTTGCCTTCGTTTACCCACGTTTCATCCTGGTAATATATAAGCCTGCCTTCTCTTCTATATTGTTTAATTTGGTGCAAGTATTTTTGACGCCATAGTACTATCTCCTTGCGATCTGTTAGCGCACTTCGACGTTTGCGACTTGTGTATTTAAAATTTAAATGCTTCAATACTTTTCTTAATGTTGATTTCGACATAACAGGCATGTCTGGATCACCAGTTATCTCTTGGTGAATCTGAAATAAGCATTTACATTACAGTTAAAATGTAGACAGGCAACACAGGTTAAAGTATAGTTTTAAAACAATGGGGGATGTCAGCAACGAGGTGTTAAAGAATTAGCAATAACTTTACCTTTTCAATAGTCGGAATCTCGTTCCTGTAGAAAAACGCGTGAACCTTTCGTCGAGTTGCGGCGAAAGTGAATTCGTCAAATTTTTGTATGAAAGATAGTTGAGGTCCACTCTTTTTCGGCTTTTGAAATTCTTTTGTGTCTTTATATTCTTTGGTAATTTTATAGACACTTGACAGACCCACGCCAGTCATCTCAGAAGTCTTTTTAGCACATTCCGTTGCACTCCAATCAGTTGTTTGCGGCCAATTTTCTATATTATATTTGTAAATATTTAGAATTATGGTCTTTTCGTTGGGCGTAAAAGCACCACGAGGACGCTTCTTTCTGGGAGAAAGAAAGTCTAAGCCTTGTGCTCTGTCAGATGGGGCTGCTTCCCGGGAAGGGCCAGGTTGTGGCTCCATAACGTTTATAAAAATCAACAAACGATCACAAAACGAAAGGTCAACAAGAAAAAACTTAACAGAATAACAGAAACTTAACAAATATAACAAGATAATAACAACAAATAGCAGCAAACACCGAGAACACATGCGCATTCGAGCATTCAAAGAAGTCGAATGAAAATCAATCAATGTGACAGACGCGACGTGACAGCTAACATTTTTTTAAAAGGTTTTTTAAACCTGGAATTAGTAGACAGTGATGCCAGCTAAAGAATAAAATATTAAGTAATTAAAGTTAATTAGATATATTGTTCGTGATATTGAAATATTTGTTATTTTTGTATTAGGTGACTTGTATAAGTAAATATTTAGATTTACCTTTTTGTAGGTGAAACATAAAAAATACGTAGCATTTTATTATTTATTGCCCTCAAATGGTTCAAATTTGTCTCTTTTTCGGTGGAGAACTTTTTTTAGTAGCAACACTTACGAAATGTCAGAATTCTACGGAATGAAAAATCAGAGTTTAGGTATTACTACTTTAGAGAACAACGACTAACCAGAGGAAATATAAGTTGTTTTAATACTTATCAATTAATGGTAGTTATTCGATATCGCTCAGCAGTTTGGTATAGGTTTCGAACACTGGTTACTTCTATACAAACGCTTGAACTACTGTGCACAAATACTTCAGCACTTCGGTATACCCAGTCAACGTGGTACCTTTGAAAGGACTTTAGCTTAACTCAAATTTCGACGGAATAAAAGGCTTTCTCATACTCCAAATATACATAACACAGTGACAGATTGTACATTTGTACAATTTACCGAAGAATATATATGTGGTCTATGGTAATAAAGCCTTTTCGAAAAGGTAGGTGTAAAACAGGCCCGCGTTATATCCCCGAATATTAATCGCGAAAACATAACTCATCTTCGATTTTCCGACGACATGGTCATTATGGCAGAATTACTGGAGGAGCACAGTGCTGAGGAGCCTCAGCAATGCAATGACCTTAGTGTGTCAATGCCAGCAGCTCAATGACCTCAACAGTCTCCCAACGCACAGGTCTTAATACGAACATATAAAAGAAAGTTCATGTGTGACGTCCATGTCACACCTATGCTGTTGGGAGAACTATACGCTTGTTGTTGTCGACTAGTATAATTTACCTTGGATAAATTTTCCGATTAGGTAAGTCCAATTTCGACCCAGAGGTGGATCGACGGATTTAACTTGGCCGGGCAGCGTTTGAGAGATTACGACACAGTCTCGTCAGGTATAACTCAAAACTTCAAAACGAGTGTTCAAACCGGTGCGTGTTGCACAGGATGACATTATAGTTCTGAAATATGAGGTGGTTCTTCACTGCTGGCCGTATGAGGCAACACAAGGTCGATCAGTGAGCTATAAAGAGGGCTATCTTCAGAGAAAATTCGCAATAAGACCAAATTAACCGACGTATCCCAATAGATCAGGAAGTAGAAGTGGAGTATTGCTTGAGCAAGGGCTATGTTTAATAGTGGACTGGGGTTGTAATAATGTTGATTCAAAATCCCTCGTCCATTAAACGAGTAACTGATTTTGGAAAATTAAATCCTAAAAATAAATTTGGTGACGTAAAACGAGTATTCCCAAAAATATAACTGAATAATAAAGATTTTTTTACCGTATGACCTTGTTATGTACTAAGGTTATGTTACGTATTAAGTTATTGTAGGTACATATACTTTTAATACAGGGTATGTAAGTTTTGTTCATAATACAAACGTAAACTGATAAGTTTAAGTTTGTATTATGTATATTTGTAATGACAACGATTTTTTTCATGAATTATGTTGTGTATGGGCAAAAGCTAATGTTTTTAATTTTATTTCACGTTTGGAATGTATTGAGCGATCGAAAGACCCGAAACAAGTTTATTTAGTTTAGATAGTAAATAATTTCCTTGCGATTTGGCGAGTAGGTAAGGCCAGTTAAAATGTCTCTGGCAATTCTACGGTTGCGCCTAGGTGAAGGTGATTCTATCTATTTTGGTGCGCATGCGTTTTTCGTATTTTCATCGCCACGTGGCGCCATCTAGCGGCCGTCATCCGAATTGCACATAAAGCGCCTGTTGCTGTAACTATTTCCGTCAGTCAAATACATCGGAAATTGTTTACTGATGTAAGGTATATAATAATACTATGCGTCTTGATATGCGAACAATAATGAAATAATAGTGTTATTGGGTTTTATAAATAAAAATAATTAGTTTAAAGTCATCGTTTATGTACAGGAAGTTTATCGACTTATACTTAATATAGTTATTTGTTTATTATTAAAATATAACAAAAGTAGAATTTAGCATGCAGGTTATAATACATACGTACATGACAAACTACAAACAAACACACCAAAAATAATCTCCATTAAAGATATTATTAAAGCAACGCAAATGTTACTTCTTACTCTGATTTTTATATTCGCGAATCAATGTTAAAAGTATACTTTATTGATGAATCCCTGACCTAAAATTTATGTTAAAATAGATGCGCAATTCTCTCAATGTACTGCTGGCACCGCAATGCGCAGCCATTGGCATTATTAAGTTCATTTATCTCATTTAAAAAGTAAATCACATGAATTTCGGTCATTTGGATATAAAAACTAATTAATGTGTTTAAGTTACATGACCTAAATCAATTGAAAAATTTTGGCTGACCTCTACTTCTTTAGGCTGTTTGTCTGGTCTCAGTTGTGAACCGTGTGGAGGTATCGGTGGTGCAAAAGAGCAGGATGGCTGAGGGTGTGCTGCAGCTGTCCCGCTTCCTTTCACGACTCCTTGCTGAGATGCCTTCGAGCTTTTTTCTACAGCCTTCGCTTGTCCCTCCGTATTCTGAATGCAGATTTGAGGCAAATTTTTCTGTACATTAGCAGCACCATCACCGGAAAGAGTCTTGGACAACCAAGCCGGTGGAACAGAGGGGGGTTGGGGAAGCTTTTGCGACACATTTAAAGCATTTATGTTTTTATTATTACTACTAGATTCTGATTGATTATAGTAAGGTTTTAGGCCAGGCGACTTATTGCTTTTATTTACTACGGGTTCGATGTTTACTTCTTTTTGCGAATTACAGTTTTTCAAACCATTATCCATAGATTCCACATATGGCGAATTGTTAGGCACCGGAGGTGGTTTTGTTGGCAAACGATCGTGATGTGGAATGGAGGGTAGTTGGCACAGGGGCAATTTTGCCAAAGTTTTGTCTGAAGCTAGTGCATAAGGTCCGTTGTATTCGTTTTCTTTCTTTTTACCTTCACTTGACACGATGTTTTTGGGTCCCTGGGTTGGTATTGGTGACGTATCATCTCTGCTTTGGGAAAAATCTGTACTTTCACTGCAACTAGAAAGTTCGCCCAGGCTGTGTGCTAAGTCAAGAGCCGACGCTTCGTGATAGTCTGTAGAACACGACGATGTGTCATCACTTGTGTTATCTGCGCCATGTGCCGCTATTTGTGAACTTTTACTGCTTGGTAGGAAAGCTAAACTTGATGTAACGTCGTAAGAAATATCAGCGTTTAAGGACTCTTCACTACGCGACGCCTCTTTGTTATTCAAAGTCTCATTGTAACAAGCCTTATCGCTTTCGGTTGTTGGTGGATTATTAACAATAACAGCTGATGATGGTAACAATTCTGCAGTCTGTACATTTGGCACAACATCTGGTTTCTCGGTAAAGTTTGTATCTGTTTGCTGAATAGAATTATTATTTATTTCTGTTTGCACATTCGACTTAATATTTTCCTTTGACTCATTTTTTAAGGTTTCGATTATTGGGACCGCTGGTAAACTCATGTACTGTGGTAAGGCAATTTCCAAATCGTTCAACCGCATGTATTGAATTCCATCTTCAATAGGCAAGTCGAACTGCGGTGAATAATACTCGAAATTTGTATTATCATTTCCGTATACAGACCATGGGTCGTTTGATGGTATAATAGGTAGTGTCTCGTAATATTCAGGATTTAACTCTCTGTTACTTACAAATTCTGGCTTATAATCCCATGTCGGCACGAAAGAATCTTCAAAGGCCAAATAATTGTCAGGCATCACGATCATTGGCTGATTGAGTAGAGTAGGATCCAAAGCATAAGAACCATCATAGAATGGATTATTTAATACAAGTGGCGAAGGTTGCATTGGTCTGCATTCTAAAGCGACCTCCGCTTCAACAAAAAGTCCATACTTTGACAGATCTGGTTCAGATCGTCTGTGCCGAGATATGCTAGCGACTAATTCTTCTTTATCATAACTTGTGTAAATATCCGAAATATCAAAACTGTGTGTTCTTCGTAACAAATTGTCAGATTGCACACAAAAGCCCTCGTTATGATCCACTTGATTATCTAATAATTCTTCGTATGTAGGCACACCCACGTTGTTTATCTGTTGCAAAGCATCACCATCTTTTATTTGGCTTAAAACTGTACAACCAGAAGTGCATTCTTGAGTATCATGGGCGTTATTGTTCGGCAAGAGAAGAATGTTCGGCAGCGAAGGTGGGGAACCGCGAAAGAGTAAGTTGTTCGGAGGTGGACGCGTCGGCTGGGCAGCCATGACTCGCACGGGCCGCCAGCCGGCTGCGGCGGACAAGAACACGGCGGGAAGGAAGACACGCGATGGGCGGCCGGCTGAGAGTTGCGACTGACTGAAGGCGGACCGTGTGACGAAGGCGAACGCAAATAGAACGGGCGCAAACGCGATGAGGTCGCCGTCTCTCGCGCGCGTCTTCATGGGCGAAGGCGCATGCGCACGCGCACTCACATGCCAAACCCGTCCGGCATGTTCGCGCAAACTATCGAAATGACGTTTATCGTATATTCTGGTTCAGGACTTCGCTTACGAGGGACACGTCACGGTTCTATAAGTTTTTTCGGGTGGACACTTTTTAAATGATGATGATGGTGAGCGTCGGGTTATAGTTATCATTCATCCTTTCATAATCAGTAATCATTCATCTTCGAAATAAATAATAAAAAATAGGCAACGGTAAGACTCACCTGTTCTGGTGGTGACCGCGGTGACGATTCTTCGCGGTGATGTCTCCTCCGTCTGTGCGAAGTAGGTGAACGCCGGTGTGATCGTTTGGAACGCTCATTTCTCCGCCTCCACGAGTGCTCCGAGCTGTGAAATTTGCGATCGACAGGCTATAGGGTTAGTGATCAGGGAAATGGCTATACTGTGACGGTCACGGTCTGTGCAATATTAAGGTGAGGCTGATGTGTCCAGGAGCCGTAACTACTGTTTACTAACGTTGGCGAGCGTTCTCCGCAACCGGAATGTGGATCCACCAATTGATGAAGAGTATCGGACGATGGGAGACAACAAGCGTGCAGCAACGCCCTCAAGGCGTCCCAACGCCGTCGCCCCGTCCCTATGCTTTTAACAATGTCCTCACTTTAATTAGCATTAAAACCAACGCGCAGCTATTCGTTATATTGCAATCAAGCACTACCTACTTCCTCTATTCACTGTACTTTATCATCGTATTTATCTGCTGTGTAGCGTACACACCGAGAACAAAGTGATCTTTGCATTGATCACGCGAGTTCGCGTAATAAAAAGTGTTAGTAGCAAAAACATCTCGGATGTTCAAGGCCTACGGTCTGATCGCCAGTGGCAGTTTACTAAAGTGTGGTCCATTGATTGCGAACGCGGCGATAGGATCGCGATGAAATAAAAACTAGTTGGTGTGTCGCGTGCTGCGGTCGCGGTCAGACTGCCAGATAATCGCCCGCGCACACGATACCTAACTTGCTGAAGTACATGCACGATCAATATAATATACATTTCAAAGCAGTCGCCGGAACAGCCTAGCAACGGAACATTCAAAACCTTTCCACGTCATACTTAACAATGTTGTAATTCAAGAGAATCGATAAAGTTGTTTTACCTTGTAAATAACACTACGGAAGTTAAAATAAAAACTATTGCTAATAAGGTTGATATGGCCAATAAAAAAGATAATCCTATAGAGTCAGTCATTCCCTACCTATCAAAAAATGGAAAATCTGAACTTGTACAATTATTATGCAATGAATAATTATAATGAAGTATTTATTTAAAAATATCAAATAGTTATTTTAATTTGAGCCTTTCGTTGTTCTTCATAAATAAATAAATTTAATTCATTTACATACCTAAGTATGTAAATAATATCAACTATCTAGCAAATATTATTACTTATTTTGCTTGTTGTAAAATTAAATAAATACGAAAAGAAACGTTTAATATGATTTCTTATATTTACGCGTACACTACACATTGTATAAAACTATTTTACGGATTTTATTACGATTAATTTTACTTTTTTTTAATTCCCGACCTAGAGCGGATCAAAATTAATAATTACAAAGTTTAAGGTACTCTGGATAAACTAAGATATTGGTACGTCAATCACCTTATTCCCTCCGTGGCTATAAAATAAAACGCGATAAAATCCGTAAAAATAACTTTATTCAATATCTTACTGTCATAATACAAATATTAAGGGAGGGATATTTAATAATGTGAGTAAATTTATATAAATTTTAAAGATGCTAAATTTAAAAATGATCATATTTTAATTTGATTTTTTATAATAATACTATTAAATTAATAAGCATTAGTTCTTACAATTTTTATTTGATGCAGGCTGAAAAATGAGCGCCAAATATATAAATTGAAAAACTTGCCACTTGGAAATCAATATAATTAGTAATTCATTATTTCTTTTTTTGTTTTCACTGGAGATAACTGTTACAGCCTATCAAAGTAAAATGTGACTAAATTTATGTAAATTTTAAAGATGCTAAATTTAAAAATGATCATATTTTAATTTGATTTTTTATAATAATACTATTAAATTAATAAGCATTAGTTCTTACAATTTTTATTTGATGCAGGCTGAAAAATGAGCGCCAAATATATAAATTGAAAGACTTGCCACTTGGAAATCAATATAATTAGTAATTCATTATTTGTTTTTTGTTTTCACTGGAGATAACTGTTACAGCCTATCAAAGTCTAATGTGAGTAAATTTATATAAATTTTAAAGATGCTAAATTTAAAAATGATCATATTTTAATTTGATTTTTTATAATAATACTATTAAATTAATAAGCATTAGTTCTAACAATTTTTATTTAATGATGCAGGCTGAAAAATGAGCGCCAAATATATAAATTGAAAGACTTGCCACTTGGAAATCAATATAATTAGTAATTCATTATTTCTTTTTTTGTTTTCACTGGAGATAACTGTTACAGCCTATCAAAGTCTAATGTGAGTAAATTTATATAAATTTTAAAGATGCTAAATTTAAAAATGATCATATTTTAATTTGATTTTTTATAATCATACTATTAAATTAATAAGCCATAATTCTAACAATTTTTATTTAATGATGCAGGCTGAAAAATGAGCGCCAAATATATAAATTGAAAGACTTGCCACTTGGAAATCAATATTATTAGTAATTCATTATTTGTTTTTTGTTTTCACTGGAGATAACTGTTACAGCCTATCAAAGTCTACTGCTGAAGTTTATGGGCTTTCCTTAGGGATTGCCTTATAAGGAGGATCGTTGCCAAGGAGGAAAGGAGAAAGACGCTACTGCCAATCTCCTCGTTTGTTTTCCTCGGTCGCCTCTCGAACCCATAGGACGATATAGGTCTCGCGTGATATTTTTACTCCGCCACTACAAGCTAATTGTATCGTTGAATTCAACGATGCAAGTTGAAGTCCTGCAAGTGTCGTTAGAATAGACACGAGTGCACCTTGGCTAATAACTATTTAGTTATTAAACTAACATCAGTCATTTTGTATAAAACAGGCAATGTAGGGAACAAATAAGGGCATCCTGTCTACGTACGTACGATTGGTTACAATTCCATTGGCCTAGGCAATACACAACAAAAATGTATCAAGCACAATGATTAAAACAGAAATCAAATAAAAACTCGAATACGCAGTCTATCGAAAAGAGAAGAATTCAAATTTTATAGGTACTCTATGTCACTTCTGCAGTTAAGCCGAATCTAACGACCACTTTATTTTAACTTTAGGCTCAAGAGAGTGCCGAAATTTTTTTTATTAATACACTCGAAAAACATTACACTGCTTTTAGGGCCGTCGAATAAAATTACAAACCGTATAACTATTGACATGTAGGAATTAAAAATTGAAACCATTTATGTTTTCCCTTAAGAAATATCACAATAATTGAAACAAAAACTAAAGAATATTGCAAACTGTTTAGCGGCGTTATAAACTTGTATGACAAACGTTGTCACGTCTTTTCAGAGCGGCCTTTGAAAAGCTAGCATCTAAAAGGTGTTGCGCGGGTGGCTCCGTTAAACTAGGCGTTATGTCACATTGTTTAGCCCCAGCTGACGACATGTTGAACTTGAACAAGTCGCTGTCGCTGGTAGACCTTCGTTCTTCGCGTGATATGTGATACGTTCTATTTCACTAGCACATGCAACATAACATACATTAATGACTAGCGTTTATGAGCTTTGAGACATATTTAAGTTTAAAATAGGAAATATAATATTGTCAAGATAGTTTAATATTGACAAATAGTATATTAAATTGAAATATTAGTCTATAGACGTGTTGTGTAAGAAATTTATAGTAACATCTGTCTGTCTATATAAGTCTTAGAGCAAGTGAGCGGCAGTTTCAATTTCAATAAGCTTCACGTTTTTTTAAGTTAGTTTCCTATACTTGAAGTATAGGAAATGGAGACTCTTTAGTTTGACCGACGGTTGACATAGGGACGCTTAGGTGTGAAAGGAGTAAAAATTACCGAAAAAAAAAAAACGTGAAAATAATATGAGAAAATGTAGTATGTGAGTAAGCAACGTCGGGAAAACGAGAATTTTAGGTGGGCTAGCTTTTAGATATGTCTTCTCTCTCACTCTCTCGGTCAGCAATCAGCATACGGACTAGCTGGCTGGTGGAGGTTGAATACATTAGTGCGCATCGTACCTTTAGAGCTAAAACAATAAGTATTCAAATAATTTTAAGAAGGATTTACTTTGATTAAATTTATTTAGCATTTTAAAACATACATATATTATTGCCACATATTTTTATCATAGCGTAACATGTCCCAGACGCTAATTACTGGATCAGAGACCTTTAAGATCTTACAGAAATTTATTTGTCATATTGTACGGAGTTCGGGATTCTTCTAACGTCAGTGACGTTCGACTTCATCTGTTTTCCAATACTTACCGGTCTAAAAAAATCCAACGTTAATTTTGAAAAAAAGAAACTAACTGTAATTTTGACTAATCAAGTCTGTAAAGCTGCAGTACACCAACACTTAATACGAGTTCGTTACGTCAAAAATGCTGATTTAAAACATTCGACGTCTTTATCACCTCAAGCTTCCGGTTGGACCATACGCGATGATAAATATGATTTTATCTGGTTCGTTGGAGAGCATGTACCATCATCAGCTGCTGACGTTATTATTAAAAGTAAAAATTAAAGATAAAATGCAAATAAATTTATTTAAGTACCTTACATTTTCCATGTCATTACTGATAACTTATAAGAAAATTACAACACTTGCAAAGATGATGATGACAATGATTATGAAAATGAGAGCAGTGATGACGATGATGATAATTATAAAGATGCTTCTATTTTTGTGATACAATTATGGATTAAAAAAACTTCATCTCATTAAAATTTTCATGCACCAATCGACCAGAGCTTTTTTCATTTTGATATTTGATTA